GTGTGAATGTGAGGGTGAATGTTTGTCTGTCTCTGTATGTGCCCTGCGATAAACTGGCGACCTTCGCCCAATGTCAGCTGGGATCGGCTCCAGCGCCCCACGACCCTGAATAAGATAAGCGGTTTGGATAATTGAATGGAAAGACAGCTTGTGTCTTAAGGGCATGCAATGCTCTCAAACTGGTTCACTGTTTGCAGATTCACACCCAAACTGAAGACGTTCTTCTTATTCCTCACATTTCTTTCGCAATTGAAGGCTACAGCATGTGAATACACTTTTGGCTCTTCTGTTATTTTTCTTCCATCATACTGTTCTTAGTTATTCCATATACAAAAAAGTTGATCGAGTTATAACTGTATAGCTGAATTGCGTTCAAATTGGGAATTTAATTTCTTCAATTTAAATGATAGTTTTAACCCAGAACAAGGTGTCCCAACTGACCCGGTAATAATACTGTGGCTTTCACATTTGGGTTGGTCTCCAAAAAACATGATAAAGTGTGAAGTTTGCTTAACTTGCTGCAAAGGGAAATTTACATGTAACCATATGACCGTATATAGCTGCAAGCAATGCACACCCAATGTACAGCATTCACTGAAAAGGGATATGTAAAATGTTATTTTGTTTGTATCCTTTCCCCACAGACTTGCAGGATGGCGGTAAATTGGCCAGGACTGGTGTCCATAGGAGTGTTTTACATGATGATACTGGGCATGGGTATCTGGGCATCCAGGAAGTCCAAACGTGAGGAGAAGAAGTGCACGGGGAACCGCAGTGAAGTCACTATGGTTGGGGGGCGGAACCTAAACATCTAGGTCAGCATCTGTACTATGACAGGTAAAAATAATGATGGTGACAATAACATCATAGATTCTCATAGTCACTGAATGGGGCCTTATGCGTTTGTAAGAGCAAACCATTCAGGGACATTTATTTTGAAATCAGAGGACTCAAAGCAAATGTTTAAAATGTTTAATTTGAATCTATTTAATTCCATCAATTTATTTATAATTCCATTTATAATTACTAATGAAAACAGAAGGACATTATCACATAACCACTAAAGAGGAGGACATTTTACTGGTGATTAATATGTCAGACCGAAAACTTAACTTAAATGTTTCCGTTTGTGTAACTTCAGGTGCACTCTTCTTTGTCAAACCTATTCGGTCGAAGAATTATGTCACCCTCATGGACCCATTTCAGGAGAAATACGGCAACGCTGTCGCTGCTGTCCTTTTCATTCCCGCTCTCATTGGCGATATCTTGTGGATAGCATGTATTCTTGGCGCACTGGGTAAGTCAGAAACAACAACTTAATGAACTAAGTCCTTGCAGAGAGACATTTTACCATAAGTATGATGCAGCACCACTGCAGATGACAGATGAGATACATTGAGATATACACAGAAAAAACTGTCGGGTTTGGAGTCAGTATGGTATTTAAACAAGCATCTGAGTTTGAGTTTTTGGAAAGTTGTGCATACCTCAGTCTGTATGGTTACAGGAGGGACGATAAGCGTGGTCATAGATATCTCCTCCTCGCTGGCCGTGGGCATCTCTGCTGCTGTGGCAGTCCTTTACACGTTAATGGGAGGACTGTATTCTGTGGCCTACACTGATGTCGTCCAGCTTGGCTTGATGCTCGTTGGCTTGGTACAAACACTACATTCTTAAGTGAATTCAAAGCATTTAACGCATGATTTTATAGCTGCTGACCATCAGCCCGTTCTCATCGTCATTGTGAGCGTGTTTCAGTAGAACGCAGCACGTGCTTTGACTTTAATGCTGTACAGCTAGTGCGGGACTAATATGCTGTATTTGGCACTCAATTATATTTTGCTCCCTATTTCAGTGGCTCTGCGTGCCTTTCATACTGGCAAACCCCTCCTCTGCCAACATCACTCTTGCTGCAGTAACCAAACTGCACCAGGAGTCATGGATCGGCAGGCTAAAGCCAGAAGAAGCAGGTCGCTGGGTGGATAACTTATTGCTAATGGTAATGAACACTTGTAACAGCCCCAATGTATCTTTAAAAAGGCTATTCCACTAAAACCTGTTCTGTAGTAAATATGCAAGATTGACAAGAAAGACTGCACTGTGATGACATAAACCACATTACCTTAAGTGTTTCATGGACAACCAGTTTTTTAATACTTGAGTTAAGCACTTATTGTAGAACAAACATGACGTTTCCCCAACATGGTTTGTATTCCTCTCAAAGGCCATTGGAGGGATCTGCTACCAGAATTTCTACCAGAGAGTCCTGTCCACAGCCACTGATGCTCAAGCCAAAATCACCTGCTATGCTGCAGCAGTATTATGCCCAATCCTTGCCATCCTGTCACTCGTCATTGGGGCAGCAGCTGCATCTACCAGTACCTAGATTTAATTAGCTTCCTATTGTCTTTGCTATCTTGGAATAATAATGTCTTCAGTGTTATAGTAGCTGTGATGAGTAATGAGTCTGCTAAGTTGAAATTGTGCAGCAATGTGAAACATAATCTACAACAATGTATTCGACACAATCAAACATCTCTCACCAAATCCCACCCATGTACCCCTGTGACTAATATGTCTGTTGTAATTAGATGTGTTTACTGTATTTTTGTCAGATTGGAACGAGACCAGCTACGGTTCTCCCAGCCCGTACGAACAGGGCAAAGCCTGGATGATCTTGCCGATTGCCCTTCAGCATCTTTGCCCATTTTACGTCTCACTGATTGGTATGGGAGCACTTGCTGCCTCTGTGATGTCATCGGTTGACTCTGCACTTCTGTCCTCCGCCTCCCAACTGGGCCGAAATATCTTCAAGAACATCTTCTACAAAGGGGTAACATCTTACATTACCATTACTCATATTGTGGCATGTTTGTTTTTTTGGACTTATTTCAAAGTACTGAATGTTACAAAGAAAAACACATGTCACTATTCTGATAACAAATGAATCGCCCCAGGCACATTCTAAAAAGTGCATGAGACTTAAATTATGTGAAATAGTTACCTTAAGCCACCGGAGGCTTTTTACATTTTTTATTCTTTACAATGGGACCGCCAGCAGCAAGACGATTTGCTGCGTGTCAAATTCTGCACTGAGCACTTTGCTGTTTTTTTTACTGGTAGGTGGGGAAAATTGGCGCTGCAGATGGTGAGAGGGTGAATTGAAGCAAGATTGTAGAAATGACATGAGAGAGGAAGCATTCCACATATAATCATGCATCCAACATTTACTTATCTCGGAGGGTGAACCACTACGGCGCCTGTGCTGGCTTTGTGTTGGCACTACTGCTCAGAGCTCTGGTGGGAGAACCAGGGATAGGCCTTCCTGACATCCTGCCCCTGCCGTGGGACAAGATGGTGGATGGTCACCGATACCGCCTGCTCCCTTTTCGCACTGCCATCATGTTCGCCACCATGGCGACTATTTTAGTAGTATCATGCTTTGCTTCGTGGTTGTCTGAGAAGGGGCTGCTAAGAAGAATAAGTGACGCTGAAACAGACACACACATGACTTACATGGCACCGGTCCAAACGGATGTGGAGGAGAAGAAGACTGAAAGAACAGCCTCACTTATCCGCTCTACTTGAATACTTTTCACAATGCATGTGGGTGCTCCAACTTGAGAGTGAGTTGTGTCTAAAATCATTTCACTGACTAAAGGTACTGATAGATAAATAGAAAATGAATAAATCAAATAATATTTTGGTTATGTGTCTTATTTTCCTTTGAGGCAAGGCACAGCGTTGCCCCTCTACCCTGACGTTGCATATTTTCAACAATTGCACCAATTTTTAAAAGGAGACTTTCAGTGATTTAGCTTTAAATTTTGATTAACTTGGGGGGATTCACAACAGACATTAAAAAAGATTGGTCAATTTGTGCAGCAAAAGCTGGGATTTCCCTTGCTTTAACCTCCACAGTTTGACTAAAACACCAAAAAATACTGTATCCTAGAGAGTGAAGGCTGCGTTGAGCTGTCAACAAATAAAATACCACCAGCCTTAAGCTTTTTTTTTTACAAGCAGTTGAAAAGATAGTTATTGATGCTACAATACACTGGATTTTTGTTTCAAAGGGTAAGATGCTCATTTTTAAATAATTGTTACCCAATTCTAATCACTGTTGCGATAGTCACCTTATACTGTGTCGACACTGAACTAACACACCTAACATGGGAGCAATGTTGAAAACAAAGCCATGATTCAGTATGAGTTGTATACATTCTGATAGTGTTTATGTGTCATTTCAGTTAAGCTGTCACTTATAAACTGGTTCGGTGAAATGTGACAGAGGGAGTCCACACAAAAGTCATACTCAGAACTCGAGTAATTTGGTAAAAAAAACTGAAGGTGCAACCCAGAAAAAAGCAGTGCAGGGTGGATGTGGAATAAGAGAAACAGAGCGACGATGTGGGCAAACATTTATAACCTACATGCGCAGGTGAGTTTAATCAGCTGACGACCCTCACATGTCAACCAACTGCCTGCTGAGGAAGGCCAGGAATCCTCCAACACTGTGGGGAAGTGCGTGACAGTATTGTTGAGTGAAGTTTCAAAATCCGCATTCTGTCAGTCTTAGAAGGCCCCGCTTACAGGACCTGGAATGGCATTACCAATGGACCATTACCTGAACTCTGTTTACTAGGGTGGCAAACACACACTATTCAACAATGTCCTCTGCAGTTAACTTTGTGCTCATACTGACTTAATCAGTTTAACAACTCAACCTTTAAGACAACAGAAGAACCTCAAACTAAACTTTTGTGGACACCATCTCATAAAGTCTTGCAGCCAGACCAGGTGAGCTAAATCTCCCTGATGACCAGACTCCACCCAAGCTCGAACAAGGAGAGGCCTGATCAGAGAAACGGGTCCCAAACAGACAGTTTGTGGGCTGCACGGTGGTGTAGTGGCTAGCACTGTGTTGCGGTTTCTCTCTTCAACAATTGACTATTGGTTGTTGTCCCTCAGTGTCTCAGGCTTCCGGGGAGGCTGGCCGGTTGTAGCAAAACCTTTGCCCCTATTTCGACACCAGAGGTACTCTCCCACAATAGCAACTATCGCCTCCCGCCCCCTAGATTCCTTACTGCATTAGTCTATTGGTTTATCAATGTTGGGCAACGATTTCAAGGAGGATTGTTAGGTTTTTCAGAACAGCTAATGCTGAACTGCAGGGGTCCGGTTCACGTAGGTTCACTTTGTGGGATTTAGGCAGACGTCTGGAACTACCAGGACACTTAGGCAGAACCTGTGCGTGGATCTATCCCACTGTAAACAATCTTCTTTTTGATTTCTTCAGCGACATTTTGTAAGTTTGACCAATCACGAGTCGAGATTAGATTACCGACTCACCTCGGACAACACAGCTCTGGTGCCCCTCCTGGATATGACGAAGGGGGAGTAGGAAAGAAAGAGAGGAAAACTCTAATTCTAAGTTCCTTGCAATACTGTGGTAAAGCAAGTGTCTTTAGTTCCACAATCAAGTAGGTACAAGTTTATATGCTGAAGCTTATCTGTTCCTTGGATAGGAGGGTTCCAGTTTAAGGGAATCTATAATGCTCTGTTTAGTATAATGCTATTTCCGATTAAGGATGTTTCCAACGCTTTACCGTCGGGTACTTGCTATGTGTTCTCCTGAGAGGAGGTTCTGATAGCGAGAAGAGTCTCTTAAGCTCTAAAAGTCAAGAGCTGTTAAGCGATATGTGAGTGCAGTTTATATAGCCCTTGCTACAGGATGTGCATCCTGCCGCGGCTGCTTATTAGTTTTGTTTGTGTAGATTAGCTTCTCCCTTTACCTGATGCTAAGCCCATATATGGCCCTAGGATGTAAAGTGAGCGTGCAAGCATGATCCAGTAATTTTCCATATTTCAGTTTTGACAGCTTGTCACGGTTTAGGCTTTGCCCCCTGTGTTCCTGTGTCTCTGTCTGTGTGTGTGTGTGTTTCCCCTGATTGCACTCATCCTACTCACCTCCCCAGTCCACCCAGCTACCTTCAATCTTCTCATCACCACACACATATATACTCCCCTGCTTTCCCTGTTCTGGTTGTCAGATCGTCCTTGTTCGTTCCCCTGTCAGTTCCAGTTTTGTGTCTCCCTCGTGTTTGCTCTGTGCTCCAGTGTTTGCTCCTGCTTTTTTGTGACTTTATCTTTTTGTATTCTGTTTGGATTTTTGCCCGCTCCCTGTTGGAGTCGCTTTGAGTTTTTGTTTGTGACTTTTTAAGTAAAGAACCTTATTTTTCAACTTCTCCTCGTCTCCAGTGTCTGTGTCTGCACTTGAGTCTCAGATCTGCCCCTCGGACGTAACACAGCTGTTACAATATTATTTGATATTTCACAACAACTGTCACCTCACACCACCCACAGTCCAAAGACATGCAGTTTAAGTTATTTGGAGACTAGAAATTGCCCGTAGGTGTGAATGTGAGCATGAATGTTGTTGTGGTTTGGATAATTGAATGGAAAGACAGCTTGTGTCTTAAGGGCATGCAATGCTCTCAAACTGGTTCACTGTTTGCAGATTCACACCCAAACTGAAGACGTTCTTCTTATTCCTCACATTTCTTTCACAATTGAAGGCTACAGCATGTGAGTACATTTTTGGCTCGTCTGTTATTTTTCTTCCATCATACTGTTTTTAGTTAGTCCATATACGAAAAAGTTGATAGTGTTTCTATCCCTGGGACGGTTGGGACAGATAGCTGGGGACGGTTGGGACAGTATTGTTTAAACAACAAAAAACAGACTTGCACAAGACAACGGCTTATTCTAGTTGAATAACATTCACTGGTAAATCGCTGAGTGAGTCAGTCAGAATTATTTTTTTCCCCTTTCTCAAAGAAATCTGTGAATAAGTAACATTGTGAATATAAGGCGTTCAAATTGAGAATTTAATTTCTTCAATTCAAATGATAGTTTTAACCCAGAACAAGGTGTCCCAACTGACCCGGTAATAATACTGTGGCTTTCACATTTGGTTGGTCTCCAAAAAACATGATAAAGTGTGAAGTTTGCTTAACTTGCTGCAAAGGGAAATTTACATGTAATCATATGACCGTATATAGCTGCAAGCAATGCACACCCAATGTACAGCATTCACTGAAAAGGGATATGTAAAATGTTATTTTGTTTGTATCCTTTCCCCACAGACTCGCATGATGGCGGTAAATTGGCCAGGACTGGTGTCCATAGGAGTGTTTTACATGATGATACTGGGCATGGGTATCTGGGCATCCAGGAAGTCCAAACGTGAGGAGAAGAAGTGCACGGGGAACCGCAGTGAAGTCACTATGGTTGGGGGGCGGAACCTAAACATCTGGGTCAGCATCTGTACTATGACAGGTAAAAATAATGATGGTGACAATAACATCATAGATTCTCATAGTCACTGAATGGGGCCTTATGCGTTTGTAAGAGCAAACCATTCAGGGACATTTATTTTGAAATCAGGGGACTCAAAGCAAATGTTTAAAATGTTTAATTTGAATCTATGAGAAAAGCAGCTAAAACATGGCATCGATATTTACATTTAAGTTACTTCTTTTTTTACAAGAAACATTTAAAATTCAAGTTCTCTTTAATTCCATCAATTTATAATTGGTGGACCTAGTTTCATTAAATCTCTTTCATATTGCCTGTATGTGTCCTGTTGTTTTGCAGCCACTTGGGTGGGAGGAGGCTATATCTTGGGTAATGCTGAAGTGGTCTATGATCCAACAAAGGGGTTGGCGTGGGTCACTGGACCCCTTGCCTACATCATAAATTTGGTTATATGTGAGTGAGGTCAATTACAACTACTGAACATACTAATGAAAACAGAAGGACATTATCACATAACCACTAAAGAGGAGGACATTTTACTGGTGATTAATATGTCAGACCGAAAACTTAACTTAAATGTTTCCGTTTGTGTAACTTCAGGTGCACTCTTCTTTGTCAAACCTATTCGGTCGAAGAATTATGTCACCCTCATGGACCCATTTCAGGAGAAATACGGCAACGCTGTCGCTGCTGTCCTTTTCATTCCCGCTCTCATTGGCGATATCTTGTGGATAGCATGTATTCTTGGCGCACTGGGTAAGTCAGAAACAACAACTTAATGAACTAAGTCCTTGCAGAGAGACATTTTACCATAAGTATGATGCAGCACCACTGCAGATGACAGATGAGATACATTGAGATATACACAGAAAAAACTGTCGGGTTTGGAGTCAGTATGGTATTTAAACAAGCATCTGAGTTTGAGTTTTTGGAAAGTTGTGCATACCTCAGTCTGTATGGTTACAGGAGGGACGATAAGCGTGGTCATAGATATCTCCTCCTCGCTGGCCGTGGGCATCTCTGCTGCTGTGGCAGTCCTTTACACGTTAATGGGAGGACTGTATTCTGTGGCCTACACTGATGTCGTCCAGCTTGGCTTGATGCTCGTTGGCTTGGTACAAACACTACATTCTTAAGTGAATTCAAAGCATTTAACGCATGATTTTATAGCTGCTGACCATCAGCCCGTTCTCATCGTCATTGTGAGCGTGTTTCAGTAGAACGCAGCACGTGCTTTGACTTTAATGCTGTACAGCTAGTGCGGGACTAATATGCTGTATTTGGCACTCAATTATATTTTGCTCCCTATTTCAGTGGCTCTGCGTGCCTTTCATACTGGCAAACCCCTCCTCTGCCAACATCACTCTTGCTGCAGTAACCAAACTGCACCAGGAGTCATGGATCGGCAGGCTAAAGCCAGAAGAAGCAGGTCGCTGGGTGGATAACTTATTGCTAATGGTAATGAACACTTGTAACAGCCCCAATGTATCTTTAAAAAGGCTATTCCACTAAAACCTGTTCTGTAGTAAATATGCAAGATTGACAAGAAAGACTGCACTGTGATGACATAAACCACATTACCTTAAGTGTTTCATGGACAACCAGTTTTTTAATACTTGAGTTAAGCACTTATTGTAGAACAAACATGACGTTTCCCCAACATGGTTTGTATTCCTCTCAAAGGCCATTGGAGGGATCTGCTACCAGAATTTCTACCAGAGAGTCCTGTCCACAGCCACTGATGCTCAAGCCAAAATCACCTGCTATGCTGCAGCAGTATTATGCCCAATCCTTGCCATCCTGTCACTCGTCATTGGGGCAGCAGCTGCATCTACCAGTACCTAGATTTAATTAGCTTCCTATTGTCTTTGCTATCTTGGAATAATAATGTCTTCAGTGTTATAGTAGCTGTGATGAGTAATGAGTCTGCTAAGTTGAAATTGTGCAGCAATGTGAAACATAATCTACAACAATGTATTCGACACAATCAAACATCTCTCACCAAATCCCACCCATGTACCCCTGTGACTAATATGTCTGTTGTAATTAGATGTGTTTACTGTATTTTTGTCAGATTGGAACGAGACCAGCTACGGTTCTCCCAGCCCGTACGAACAGGGCAAAGCCTGGATGATCTTGCCGATTGCCCTTCAGCATCTTTGCCCATTTTACGTCTCACTGATTGGTATGGGAGCACTTGCTGCCTCTGTGATGTCATCGGTTGACTCTGCACTTCTGTCCTCCGCCTCCCAACTGGGCCGAAATATCTTCAAGAACATCTTCTACAAAGGGGTAACATCTTACATTACCATTACTCATATTGTGGCATGTTTGTTTTTTTTGGACTTATTTCAAAGTACTGAATGTTACAAAGAAAAACACATGTCACTATTCTGATAACAAATGAATCGCCCCAGGCACATTCTAAAAAGTGCATGAGACTTAAATT